AGGTATTATTTCTTACTATTTTATATGAAATTTTTGGTCACAAACTTTTCCTGAGAAGAAAAGAAATCCACCTAAAATTGGACATGTTCTGTATTGTAATCAGTAAATGAATGGAATGCTAGAGGCCCTTCAGGCAGAGATATAATAAGATACTACCAAACTATAATTGCCTACAGAAGTCTCTTACATTGCTATCTCAATTAAACATATTGAATGAAATATAAAGATTAAACTTAATTGTAAGGCTTTGTTGAGGAGAAAAAGCATTGACTTTTTTTTTAAGGGTGAGAACATCGAAGCTCTTGCTGTCTGAACTTCAAGGACCATTAAAAAAACCCCAGAACATACAAAACAAAATGTCTAAACCTTCATTTTTGAGCCTTAACTTGACATATTCAGAAATAACAGTCCTGAGACTTGTTTCCTAAAGGTTGGGTGACTTTTTTAGCATAATTTCTTTTAATTTCTCTATTTTTTTTATCTCCAATTAGTTTACTCAGACCTTCCTTCAGCTCTGTAACAGGTCCTACAATCTTTCAGTTCCAGTGAGTACAGTGGGTTTGATACAAGCTTTTGTAACTGATTTTTTTGAGCTTGACTTATATAACTAGCAGCTGCATCTTTGACTTTACACAAATAAATTTATCCTTACCAGTGGCAGAGAATCAGGCTTATACCCCTTCTCACAGTCACTATTTTTATCAGCCCTCAAGCTTTATCTGTGTATGAGCTAACATTCCTCTAATGGGATCTCCAGAAATTGCTAAGAAACAGATTGAGATGTATGGAGGAAAAGTATTTTCAGGAATTTGTAGTATGTGTACAATTGTACAGCTACTACAATTATATGAAAAAGTAATATTTGTAAATAAAAAATGATTCCATTTTTATACATGTTAGCACAATCAAAACTTCAGAAGTTTTCATTTTTATGTATTAGACTGTGTGCAGAAAAAGGAATGGATTTATGCTGGATAACTGTATAGAAAATGGCATTTGAGAGTACAAGCCTGGCTTTTTATCGTAATAAAAATGTGCGTGCTTCCTACATTTTCTTCACTTTGCAGAAGAATTCCAGTTCTACAGCATGTTAATTTTTTTTGCCTTTAGCTTCTGTTCTTAAGAGGGTATTGAAAAACTGAGCACAGGCTGTGCATCCTGGCCTCTAAATGAGCAAGTAGAAGCTATCTGGTGTAAGTCCAGTGTAAACGTGTTCACAAGGTTTGAATATTGGACTTGCATATGAAAATGTCTGTTTACCAGAATGCCTTTTCTGATGTTCTGTTCCAAGGATTTTATTTTTAAAAAGTGGTAAGAGATTATTATTACTATGTAATAGTACATGTATTAGATTAAATACTTCTAAAGAGACTTTTTAGTGCTACTGAGACTGCAATTGCCAATTTGCAATTTTAAATTTTTTTTTAAAATCTTATTAAATTCTGGCATCAACAGTGGCCTCACATTGTCTTTCATATAAACTTGCCCCCTGAAAAGTTTTGGCCTGCTGTTAGCTGTGTGGTATTAAATAGCAGATAAAAAAATAACAATGTCACTGTTAAGGTTAAGCAGGAAAAGTTCATTAACTGCAGGAGATGAGCCTCTGCAAAGCCTTTTTGCTTGTTGTGAAAGACAAAAAAAAGGTTCTATACTTTACTTTGAGGTACAGATTCAAGTGTTAGAGGTATAACAGATCTTAGTGTTATGTTACTAAAATGACCTTGTTTTGTTAGTCTGTTAAATAGAATATAGAAATTTCCCAGTTCCATGTTGTTGAAAAGTCTAACAGGAATAATTTGTTACCTTTAACATCTGAAGAGTTGCATTGTTTGTTTACATTATTTTTTCTGCTTTTTTTAAAATAAACAAGGCAGATAAAGATTTCTAAATTAAAATGGCAAACAAAAACACAGTGATGTCTAGGCCGCTGCTAATACAAGAGAGACATATTCTGATTTGGAACTCGTTAGATGGAAAACCAAAGCTGCATTGATGTTTCTGCCTAAATATATTATCTTAGCAGTATGAAGTTTTTCTTTTTAAAAAGCAAACCCAACATTGTGATTCAAACTACTGTTGTAAGATATCAAGATGCTTCATTCCCACTAAATAAAAATGAGAAGAAATCTTAAAAATTTTAAACAGAAATGCAACTTTTGATTGCTGTTCAGTGTTAAAAACTGTTTAGTAATTGTTACTAGCAGTCAATGTGGTTGTCTTTATTGTGTTCTAATAATATTTGATTAACCTTCCTGTGTGTCTGTAACTTTAAAGATTATTTTTTTAACCACTAGGTTCAGCATTCAAATAAAAGGCAACTCTGTGCTTTCTGCTAGTGAAATATCAAATAGTTGAATAACAAATTTGCAGTATCATTTGGTAACAGTATAAATGTATACATAGTGAGGAGAAGGATGTTTATTAAATGGAGAAGGTACACCTAGAAGCTCCATAATGCTTTGAAGCAGACTGAACAGTTCATAATTTAGATCAAACAGAATGATTAGCCCTGTGGAAAAGTTGGTTTGGAGAGAGAAATTCATCCTGAGAGGGGATTTGTCATCTAGCTTTAGAAGGAATGCAACTACTCAGCAAAAATAAAAAGCGTGTAATAAAGGGACATTGAATAAAATTGTTATATGAAAGAAGCAATAAAAATTTGGAGAACAGAGTATTTCCTAGCAGTAGTATGAACTAGCCTTTGGACTGACTTAGTTGAAGAAAGCCATGAAAGCCACCAGGTAAATTGTCTTAAACTACAATGAACTTCAATGTTAAAATGCATGCTGCAGGAATGTTGCACACCAGAGGGTAGGAGAGAGAACTGTAAATGGGTTTCTATATCTAGTTTTTATAAAAGCATATCAAAGATCTGTTGAAAATATTTGCTATATGCATGCCCAGAAGTACACAGAATGTTGAGTGTGACCTCAGTAATCACATCAGCAGCTGTGCTGCTAATGCTGCCTGGTTTCCAATTGCAAATTACAGGTTACAATAATTACACTTCACAAAGTTAGCTTTTTCTTGGAGTCAGACTATAAGATTGCTTTTAGAAGGGGGATTAACAGTGTGGCCCTTCCCCATTGTCTATGAGTAAAAATGAATGAAGTTGGCTGGGACTTGTTTCTTTGGGTCCATTTGTGTCTCAGTTTATGTAGTTAAGAGGATAGGACTAAGTAAAGTAAATGCATGTTCATGTTCAATTCAATTAAGAATTCCAGCTTTATTCAGAAGCTGGCAAGTTTGCATTGTGTTACTTAGTAAAGGTTAGTCTTTACAAATAATATCAAGACTCATATCTTCATTTTTTAAAACAAAAATCTGTGAATGTATTGTGGAAGCTTTTAGGACATTTTTAACCAGAGACTTGAACTGATTAGTACCCAGTACAATAGAGAAAGGTGAGCTAAAGTTGCATTAGTCTTGACTCTGTGATGCAAACTGGCTTCTGTTCCAGCTTGAAGACATGCAAAGGCAGTTATTAAACTGTATAGCTTATATTCTGCCAACTTTTCATGTCCGAGATGGAGCTGTCCAGGAATGCTTCCTGTGTCAGGGACTAACGTTGACTGACCTTCATAAACCACCCACATGGTATGGTACAGGAACTGGAGACCAATTAGGACAATCTTTTTTCTACTGCCATGGCACAAACTGTACTCAAGATAAAGTTCTGTTGCTGTATTTATTGCAAGCCAGGTTAAAAAAGACTTTACTGAAAATATTAAAACCAGTTTGAAATTAAGTGGGATCTTCCTGTTAACCCAGGGCTAGCAGTTACCTGTTGTGCTACATGACTGAACTGTGGTGTTAATTTGCTTGCTTCCTGAATTGCCCAGGAAGTGAAAGCTTAAAAAAGCTATATGATGTGTTGTTCAAGCAATATTGTGATCTGTACTGAGAAGATAGTGTGGCTTTCAGGAGATAAGCCAGAGAAGAGGAGCATGAAGTTAGTAGCTTGCTGTTAAATGGAGTGGTTTATGCTGCATGTTGTAAACTGTTTAGTACATGTTTACTGAGTGTGCATGTGTCTGCATTTGTGTGGTGGGAAAGAGAACATGTGTGAACTGATGTTTTTAAGACTTGACCAAGGCTTGGCCAAAGTGAACTAATGTGGGTTGAATTGGATCAGATTTTCAGAGGTGTAGTGTGAAGCTCAGCATTAATATCCATTGACTGGGGACTAGAAATGTCTTACGGTATATGGGAACATCTTTAAAAAGAAGCAGCTATGGATTTGTTTGTTTGTTTGTTTAGAGAGATAATGTAATAATCTCTTAGAATTTTTCAGCAGCAGTTGAACACTTCTTGAGTCATCTTGACTCAGGTATACCTTGCATTATTTCACAAAAAAGTGACAGATTGACTCACTCTGAAGGCAAAGTGGTAGACGGCAAGAGCCGTACAATGGACAGGCTTACTAAGGTGCATTACCTGAAACATCTGTACTGTCTTGGTGTCTCTATTATGTTAGGCATTTTTTCAGTCTCTCTAGACTTTGTTCTATGCAAGGCATTTTGATGCGTTTTTGTTTGTCTGAATGGGATGCTGTCTTCGTTCCAAGTTTTTCAGGAAACTTCTAGTACATCTGTACAGTGCTTCCAGATTTACTTTAATACTTTCTCTTACCAAGGGTCACGATCAGAGTTCAACTCTTGCCCAGCACTCTGTTGAATTGACATTACCCAATCACCATCCATTTCACAGAGATTTACTTCGATATGCTAAATTGATGGAGTGGCTCAAGAACACAGATTATGGAAAATATGAAGGGCTAACAAAGGTATGTGAAGTGCTCAAATGATGTTGGAGAATGTACGTAATATCCTATTTTTGAGAGTCAGAAGAATTGCCTCTGTGTGTGCATGTCCCTTTTAATATTCCTTTGTATCAAATTTAATTCACTGCTCTTTCTTTATTCGTCTTTAGAATATGAAACTTCATTTTTTGGTGTTGGTTGTATCCTATTTGTTTTGGTGTTTGTTTTTTTTGTGTCCAAGATTCTAATATTTATGTAAAACAAGTTAGTTATTTTAGAGTCTAGCAAGAAAAATAATTAATCTATTTTCATGTTGATGTGCATATTACCTGTGTGACATCTTTATTTCAACAGACCTTTATTTCACTTCGGAATATAAATGTAGATATGTAACTGTTAACTGCCTCATTTAAACTGACATGGAATGAAAAAATTTCTACAGAAGTACAAAAAATGTTTAGTCATGGGAAAGTTAGTCCTTACAGAACAATCAATATATAAATACATATATAGTCCAAACCAGTTTCTTATTTAGTGGAACTTAGATGCTTGCTGGTTTTTGAGACCTGTTTTACTGTAATAGAACAAAGTCAATATGTATACCCGTTAAGTAACTTTACATTTTTCTTTCAAGAATTATATGGATTATTTATCACGACTGTATGAAAGGGAAATAAAAGATTTCTTTGAAGTTGCCAAGATCAAGATGACAGGCACAACCAGAGAAGGAAAGAAGTTTGGTAAGCTTCCGGGAGGCATATATCTTGCTTTGACTCTTATTATTTGCTTATAAAATCCTCATTACAACACATAGGGCCAATTTTATAATAGTGTAAAATATCTTGCATATGGCAAGGAGGGAGAAGGTGGATGAAAAATACCGTTGGTAAAGCTTCTGACTTCCACAAGGCCAAAGTAGCACAACAGAAATCTTGTGAAATTGGCTGAGATAGAAGGATACAATATGGTATTTCTCAGATTTATCAGATTTTCAAATCCATACTCTGTTTTTACCGAACTTCCAAACATATTTTATTACTTTAACTGTCCTGCTTTATTACTGGACCAAATTTGAAAAATCAACTCTTGTAATTAAAGAAAGCTTGGGTAACACATATGTGTGTTCCTTGTGCTATTACTTCTGCTTTTAAAAAGTTTTGGGTGGATTTTGAAGCTAGTTTTAATGCTAATTATGCCTAAGGAAACTTGTGCATTTTCTCTCTTCATTAGAGACTAGAAATCATACTTTATCTTGTAGGCCTTTCTGTTTAAGGAGATATGCA